TATAATAATATATATATAATATAAATAGAGGATTAATTAAATTTTTGAAATGGAATAATGGAAAAGAATTATTAAAAGATTAAATAAATATAATAATTTGAAATCTAAATCAAAATTTTCTTTAAAATTCATTAAAGATTTAAATAATTATAAATATAGAAAATAAAATTTAATAAATAAAATAAAATTTATTCATAATAATTTCATTATGGAATAATAAAACCAAAAAAAAGAAACTAATCTAAATAAAAAATTTGATAGATTTTAAATTAAAGTAAAAAAATTTAAATGAATTTTACTATTTTAAATATTTCATTTTAAATTGTAAAAAAATAATTTCAATTAAAGATTTACACTTGACATATGTATGTTATTCACCCAGAAAAAATAATAGTCTAATTACCTATTTATTATTTCTTGTTTTCTCCACAAATTATTATTTTATGCGCATATTAATTAAAATTCGAATTCAGTAAATACATATATATAGTACATATACAGTTATTCACAATATTTGAACGAAATTCATTTAATTCGAAAATTTTAATTTGAATAGTATACATGTAAAGCATAATAGGTTATATATGAAACAATTTTTTTTTGATAGGAAATTTCTTTGACGAAGTGAAATTAAGTTTTCAATCAAGAACATGATACAATGTTATTTGGTAATTTTTTTTAGTATAATGCGTTTTTCATTCTTTTAAATGTAATGATGTGAGATAGATACATATTAAATTTTGTAATTATTATTAATTATTTACTAAATAAAAGAAATGAATTAATTGATGTCCAATATTTAAAAAAAAATTAATTTTCATTAGTTGTTTAATTTATCTTAAAATTTATAAATTTTGTTATTTGAAAATTTTATTCAAAATTCTGATAAGTATTTTATTAAAAATTAATAAATATTATTTTACTGTGTAAAATTATAAAATATGAAACAAAAATAACAAATATATAATTACAATTTAATTTCTTCGTTAACAAAATAGTATTATAATAATTCTTTAATTAATTCATTAATATTTAATTTTTTTCATTAATTTCATTAATTCATTAATTAATTATTATAAGTGAATTCCATTGAAATTCATTAAATGGAATTTTTCAATTGATTTTTTCTTTTTTTTTTTCTTTTAATTTTTTCATTGCGAACATAAGCTTTGTTTTAACTTATAAGCGATCAAGCTAAAGGTAATCGATGAGAACGGACCATTTACATCGGTTTCTATTACGAAGAGGAATGAGGAAGTTTTATAAACATGAGCCTTTGACGCAACGTAAATATATGACAGTCAGCTGCATCATATGACCGGAATAGTGAGTAGTCGAACTCGTCACGAGGTTGCGATGTCAATGATTCGAGATGTTAAACAAACCTCCACTTTATATGATCGGTTGGACACGATACAATAATCATGTTCCGGATCTTATAGTATTAACTTCATTTCGCTTATCGTGTACAATATAATTATAATTATACGGAATATATCGAATTTTGACAGAATAAATTTGACAAAATAATAAAATATAATTAAAGTAAGAAATTAGGTGAGTACAAAAATTCTATTTTTTTAGTGGTTATAATAGGCTCAAAGAAAAACTAATTCTAAATAGTAACTACAGATGTCATAATGATACATACAAATTGCTAACGTATTGTTTGAAGTGAGAATTGAAGGAAAGTCTTACAAATTAAATTAAAAAAGTTCACGATTTTTCAGAGATACATAAAAATGTGGCAAAATTTTTCACAGATAAATACAAATATGACAAAATTAAATCAGTTTATAAAAAATAAATCAAAAATATATTAATAAATGATCAATTAAAGATTTAATATTTTTTTAGTACTCAAGATATATTGAATCTATTATATGATACTTTAATTAATATTATATTTAATAGAAATCAATTAAATATAATTGTTTAAATGTTAGAAATTTTATTAAGAATTTAGCCATTCATCTACAAAAATTTAATATAAAGAATTTATTCAACAAATTATTTAAATAAAGATATAATACGAATAATTGAAACATTTTCTAATCAAATTCATTTTTGTTATAATTAGTTATAAAAAGAACTTTTAATATTTTTTTTTTAATTTAATAAGAATAATTTAGTTGTTAATAAAAATTAAATATATCTCAATATTTTTTAAACTAAAAAAAAAGAAAAAAATTAATTATTAATTGAAATTATTTATAAAAGTTTTTAAATATTTTATAATAAGAAAAGAAAAAAAATATTTAAAGAAAAATTAATTATTATTTTTATGTAAATAAAATATTTTTTTATTATTTAAATTTTTATAGAAAAATTTAATTGGATCTCAATTACCAATAATTTTACAGTTTCTTGACAAAATTCTTATAAATATCATTCTTTACATCATTAAAACTTTTATCATTGATTTTTTTGATGTCATTTGGGTGAACAATGGAACTAGTTCGATAAACTAAAAATAACGATTTTGATTTTGATTTAAGCCTTTTTAATTTTTAATTTTTATTTTTATATATATTAATTTCAAATAATTGCCAATGTTATGAATTCTTTCAATGCAGAACGAGATACAATCAATCTTTGAGACATAAATAATGTAATACTGAAAATAAATTTATCAGTTTCTCAAGTTTAAATCAAAATCTGACATACTTTATTTGAAATGATGCATTGAATTATAATGAAATAAAATTCATTAAAATCGACGAAATTGTCTTTGAAATTGATATTCTCATTTAAAGGAGAAGCAAATTTATTGTTTCATTTATTGATTTATTTATAAAAATTGAAATTTAATAAATGTACATGATGATATTATTTTATATATTATAAATAAAAAACTGAATTTTAATTTTCAATTGTAAATTTGTAATATAGTGCTAATTTATTTGATAATTAAATATTATTTAATTATTTGATGTTTGTTTTTGAGAAATAAATATCGAATCGAATATTAATCATTGATAGAAAAAATAATTTTATATTTAAAATTTATAAATAGTTTATTATTTTTACAATAATTATTTATTATGTATAATATTGATTAATATTAAAATTTTGAATTTGAAATTTCTTCTTTATTCAAAAATAGTACAATGTGATAAATAAATATATGCAATTAATTCTATAAAATCATTTTTTATAAAATAACATAA